CGAATCAGCGATGACAAAATTATAGAAATTTCGATTCGTTTTTTTTGCAGTAAGTGAAGATGAATTTCAGCAAGATCTTCTTACAAAAAAAAAGGGGTATTTTGAAAACAGCGTACGGGTTTCAATTTGAATTTCAAGAATGGTTCGTACAAAAAGCAGTTAGCAAAATACCTACTGCTGGTCAAATCAAAACGTATTAAAAAAACGCGAATTTTTCATTTTTGTGAAAATAGAAATGAATCCTGCTTCTTTTTTAATTTTAAGACTAGATTGTACCAAAGAAAATTTGCCAGTTAATTACCTCCACATTGTAACTGAACACTCTCACACAGAAAAGGTTTCCCAGGAAACGGTTCTTAAGTGCTCAGAAATGATTAAATATTTGGAAGTATCGGCACAAAATGTCTACAAAGCTAAATTAAGGCAGTCACACTCGCACTCACTCACACCCTCTATTCGTCGGGACGGACAGGAATCTAGTCAATGAAAATGATGGTGGCAAGTATGATTTTCTCTTGAATTTCAAAACTGGTTCGTATATAAACGAATTTGTGTAAATACCGCCAGCTGACAACGTCGCAATGCGATTGGTGGAATATTAGCCAATCAGCATTTTAGGACTTATTTCAACGCACAAACTCCTAATTCTTTATCATACAGGGGTGGGGGGCGATTTTGGCAAGTGTATGAATGAGACTTACACCAGAACTGTATTTATTTTTTTATTTTTTTACCAGGATTTGGCTTTATAAGACGAGGTTGACGGAAAAGAAAATTACAACAGCTTGAAGATATTTTAAATTTCCTCAAAAAAGTAAATACGTTTGAACACCAACTAGGACTCAATTTTCACTTTTGACCTCATATATATATATATATATATATATATATATATATATATAGGATTAGTCTCAGAATGTAACATACTCCACATGCCACGATCTGTTTTTACAAGATTATATGACAGAATTCAAAAGTGTTTGATTAATTATATTCCAACCTACGGCACAGGTGAAAATTTAGTTGTACTATTAGAACTGTTATCCATCTTCATTGCCATATTCATAACATTTCGGTCGTTGTACGCTTCGCCTTCTTCTCTTTCAGCTGATTAGAATTTCAAACCTAACTGGGGTAAATTGTTCTAGTTCCACGGACTATCCCTCTTCTCTTTAATTCAACTCTCGAAGTTTTGGTCCACCGCTACTGCGGCCCGCTATTGAACCTACAACTCTTTGGGTCTAGTCACGGAATCTAACCAACTTTTTTATTCATTTGGCTATTAGCCCTTGCATGAATTTTTGAGACTTATAAACCTAATGTCTCGGCCCTCATTTTTTTACCAGTACTCATATTGAAAATTTACTAGCCACACGCTACTCTATCGCTGTTTCCATCGCAAATTTTCAGGTTAGCGATATTGCATATTTCCATCGAGACCTTCACAGCTAAGACCCACCGTGCCACATACACAGGGTTAAATCATCCTCATTCTTTTCGTAATCTGTTGGTTAGGCGGAAGATCACTTGAGACTTCTTCTTCTCAAGAACCGATACTTTGTGAAACAGAATCCTGAAATTATAATTTCTCAATCAGTACGACATTAACCTTTTTCAAGTTTAGGGTTCAGTCATTATCTATCCTACATATCCTTATAATCTTCAGTCTTTATTTCCTCATTTTACGTCCATTCAACAAATTAATTCAGTAGTCTTCTATCTTAAGCGGCTCTTGGGCCTTTTCATTGTGTAAAAAATATTATAATAAATGTATCTGGATTACAATAAAAGATCACATATATAGTTTCCGAAAAGTGTGTATCAAGAGTGCTCAAACCCCATGTTAAGGCACTGTATATATTTTATGGTGACCTATTTACATCAGAATGAACTTTTCCTCCTTTATAAATACTAACCTGCGAGACTTCCTAAGTCGAACTCTCTGCTTTGACAGAGAGGAACCCGGACGAAGCTTTGCCGAAGGGTAAAGTTTCGTGCGGGGAGGTAGACAGATCCCGAACCCGATTATGCAGGTTCTAAAGGAATTTTTTTGGCCGAGCATACGGGCTCGCAGAAACCCACGTTAAACTCGGCCTTGTGTCACATACATTCCTAGTGGGGTGACTGTTAAATATGGCAGTCGGGATTCAGTGTAACCTGTCAGTTCGGACGGACACTTCTATCTGCTAATAACACTCTTATTTTGTCTATATGTTCTTTTATTTCAATACACTTATTCAAGCTACCTTCTTCTTTCCGTGTTTTTATTTCTGGCCCCTAACAGGCAACACAAATATACTCATTGGGTTTTAATACAGACATGTGTCTTCGCATGTCTAATATCGTTCAGATTTAGAATACCATCCCGTAATAACTTATTTCATATCTCGTGTACTTGTTGACACAATACAGAAAGAATTGTAGACGGGTTAGCAGAGACAGACGTCTTCCTATCATGTTCCGTATATGTTTAACTACGTAAATGACTTTACACCTACGCTAAAGAATTTATAGAATCCATGTAGAACATGATGAGTAGCATGGGTATCAGCTAGGCAGCCGCTATGCTATTGAAACAGCATATCGCCCCACTGTTCGATAAATAGCAGCAGAAAGGGATGAAACAATTTCCTCGGGGTACATGGCGATGTCCATGGTGTCATTGGCTGTGCGCGTGTCGTGGGAGAATATATTCAAGAAAATGTAGCACCCCAGATCTATGTTGCATAGACAAACGACCGTTCTAGCCCAAAAGCAGAACCTCTTCTTCTCATTGAACATTAAAAACCTCCATGTGTGTTCTTGTTGCAGATTGATAGATTAGCTGAGGAACAAGGTTACGAGCTGATGTTGGTACGATTTCCGCAGAATGTAATATTTTTATTTTTTATACTAATAATCTCCCAATACTAGGCCCGAAGGGTTATTCAATATACAGGCCTACTGTGTGATATTGTGTGAACTTAAGAAAAAGCAAGAAGTGAAATTCATAAGGTTATGCATAAAAGATAACAGTTGGCCCGAAACTTGAAGAGTTCGAGATTATAGTGATTGGGAAAACATCCTGCCAGGAGTCTGTTCCACAAAGCAACAGTTCTTGGGTAGTAGCTATCCAATTGGAACTTACTTCTTATTATAGGAATATGAAGAGAATGGCGATGATTCACTCTTGTGTACGCAGCATGGTTGGTCCCAGATGAACCATCTGGCATATGGCATCTCCTACTGAGACAGTAACTGCCATAATGATGCTATACAAAAATGGCGACACTAACTTCTTAAACATCAAAACAGGAGTCCTCCAGGGTGATACTATTGCACCTTTTCTTTTTGTTACCACCCTTGACTACGTATTGAGAATTTCCCTGCAAAAACATCATTATCTAGGTTTTACTTTATCCCCAAGACTCGCAAGTCGATATCATGCAAAAAGTTGAGAGATATTGACTATGCAAATGACCTAGGTATCACTACAGACATCATTACCAATGCCACAGTTCTTCTACATCATCTAGAAAATGCTGCCAATGATGTTGGACTCTAAAATGCCAATGTCTCTACAACTGAATTCATAGGCTTCAACTAGCAAGGCTCGTTACGAACTGTCTCAGATGAATCAATAAAATCTATCGAATCTTTTACATACCGAAGAAGCGAGATAAATTCTACTGAGAAGGATGTAGAAATTGACATAACTAAAGACTGGACTCCCTTGAATTAAAATGGATGTAATCTGGAAATGTGATCTACTAGAGAACCTCAAACGGAGATTATTTCGAGACACCGTAGAGGTAGTTTTAATATATGGTGCCGCTGCTTAGACATTAATTAAACCTTAGAGTCTAAGCTTGACGGAACCTACACTCAGATGCCTAATATTTCTATACACTCGAACGCAGAATGCAATTTGCATGACACTGCTAGCGAGCAAAACAAGAACTCGCCAGTGATCTACTTTTCTGGACATATAGTCGAGGAACAAGACTTGTTGGTCGTCCAGCAAACACCTACACTGACCAGCTATGTTATGACACAGAATGTCTCTCTAATGACCTTCCAAACTTGATGCAGGACTATGATGAATCACCTGAAGAAGGCCGGAACGTACAACGGCCGAAACGTTGTGAATATGAAAATGAGCAAATAAAAAATAATATGGTGGTGATTTTTTAAGCATAGCTAAGACGTGGTATAAGGCCGAAAGTATAGGGTACCCAATGAGGATCGAATTAATACAACGTCATGGTTATCTCTAGTCGTTCCGAAATATTTGTTACTCACGGGGCATTTTAGAAAAATATTTTCACGCACTTTATACATAATTTGTAAATTTCAGTTATATCTGACAGTTACGGATTTTGTTACGAATTTCAGTTTATATTTTTCACATTTTGAAATATAATCTTGCTTTTTCGCGGTTCGCCTAATTTCTTCTCTGGGCAGAACATGTGCGTCGCCACGCACAGTTTGAGAAACACTGGTTGAGACGAAGAATTTTTATTATGCATTTTTTATTAGTTTTCTCCATGTTATTGCCTTTCCTCACAAGGCTGTTGGTCGAACATTCTCCGACCATTAAAAGCAAGCAGAGTGATTAGGTTGCTTCTTTATTCCAACGTTGCTTATTGTAACGGCTTGAGGATAAACGCTGAAGGTAGTTGAGCTTAAAAGCAACAGTGTCTCTGTCTCTCTCTTTCTGTCTGTCTCTGTCTCTCTCTCTCTCTCTCTATATATATATATATATATATATATATGTGTGTGTGTGTGTGTGTGTGTGTGTGTTCATATCTATCTATCTCGGTCTGTTCATATTTATCTTGGTCTGCTCATATCTATCTATTTATCTATCTGTTTATCTCTTTCTTTCTCTGCCTCTGTCTATCTCTCTCTCTCTCTCTCTATATATATATATATATATATATATATGTGTGTGTGTGTGTGTGTGTGTGTGTGTGTGTGTGTGTGTGTGTGTGTGTGAATCTATCTCTATCTATATCGGCATGTTCATATTTATCTGGGTTTGTTCATATCTATCTATCTATCTATCTAATATGTCTGTTTTGTCTGTCTATCTCTCTCTCTCTCTCTCTCTCTCTCTCTTTCTCTCTCTCTCTCTCTCTATATATATATATATATATATATAAATCTGTTCATATCTATGTATATATATATGTATCTATATCGGTCAATTGATATTTATCGTGGTCTGTTCATATCTATCTATCTCTCTTTCTATGGGTTGGTTCATAACTATGTTTCTATCACTATATATATCTTTTATCTGTCTGTCTATCTGTCTATATATCTATGTGTGGTCATATCTTTCTATTTAAATCTGTCCATATCTATCTATTTGTTCGATTGAAACGAACACTTCTGATTACATATTTTCCAATCACTTCTTTACCCGTTCTTCCTTTCTGATACCGATGTCCGCTATAATGAAGGTTCTTGTCTGTCTATCTCCTCATTTTTCTCCCTAAATATTGAGAAATAAAAGAAAAGCGCTTAATTGCTATGTCATATAAAGCCTCTTGTATAACAGTGAAAGTTAGGACAATTTCCTCACGGATGAAGAGGAAAATTATGGTGGCTGATGTGGTTCTATAGAAGCATATTGTATAATGACTTTAGGAATTTGACAGCAAAACAAGCAGATGGACATTGCGACTAGCCTACTTGTGTAAATGGATGATTGAACAGGAACTGAGAATGATAATAAGGAAAAAACAAACCATAAATTACAAAGGGTAGAAAGATGCCGAGAGCCACGATCGCCTACGCCCTAAAAGAACACGACACGACTGAAATTCTCCAGCAATGGATACTAAATCTCACTCGCCTTTCCGAGATTATGTATGGAATCACTGGTAGATTTCAGTCATTCATTGGACATGCGCACTTTCCAGCTGACATTGAGCGTTGCTCTCAGTAGTAAAGTAAATGTAACATCAAATATTATTTTCTTTTTGCCAGTGACTTTGATTGAAAAGCAACAAATGGTAAAGAAAAGTTGTCAGAATTTAAGATATCTGACAAGTTTTTTAGGTTAGATTCATATGAACAGAATCTGTATTCTTTGTAAGAAATCAGTCTGTAGATCAGGTTTCATTGCCGTAATTTTGTCAAAAAAAGGTTTTTTGTCGTGAATCAAATGTATTGCTGTAATATATTTTTTAAAAAATGTTTTGCTGGTATTTTTTTTTAAATGTATTGCTAGTAATATTTTTTTAATTGTTTGCTGTTAATATTTTTTCAGAAATGCATTACTAGTAATATTTTTGTCAAAAACGTATTTCTGGTATTTTTTTCAGAAATGAATTACTAGTAATATTTTTGTCAAAAATGTATTTCTGGTATTTTTTTCAGAAATGCATTACTAGTAATATTTTTGTCAAAAATGTATTCCTGGTAATTTTTTCAGAAATGCATTACTAGTAATATTTTTTTAAAATGTATTTTTGGTAATATTTCTTCAGAAATTTACTGCTGATATTTTTTTCAAAAATGTATTGTTGATATTTTTTTCAAAACTGCATTGGTCGTAATATTTTTAATGTATTGCAGGTAATATTTTTTCTCAAAAATGTATTGATGATAATTTTTTTCTCAAAATCGTGGTGCTAGTAATATTTTTTTCAAATATTTATTGCTGGGAATTAATTTTTTATGTATTAAAAATGTATTGCTGGTATTTTTAATCTAAATATCTATTTTTATATTTTCATAGTGTTTTGGCCCTAGTTCATGAGTTAAATATTTAACCATAGCTGGGACCCTAACAGGTCTTACTATCCAGGTTTAGGGAGGACCTGGGAACAACAGCAGTTAAGAAGTGGTTCCACGCTCCTAAAAACCTCCTTGTCAGTTGTCTTGCTACCAGATGTAATCTATCGTCATACGCAAGACAACAGAAGAATCAACGAACAGGATTCAATTTCCTTCATTATCTGTTTATTACAGATATTTCATGTTATCATATTTGAAATTATCGTATTTTTAGATTTTTTAAAACTTGCTTTCAAAAAATAGTAACCCACATTTCTTTTACACATTACATATCTACCTTTAAGTCTAGGATTTGATCTCCTCCTAATTGCTACTGTTTCCAGGGCCAGCTAGTAACACCTACTAGGTGTTACTAGCTATTGGCAAATAATGGCCCCCACAAAAAAAAAAAAAAAATCAACAGTAGTTCCATAGTAAAATTACCAACGATGCATTTTATGATCTACAATATTGATATCTAAAAAATATACCTTTACTTTGAAAGTATAAAATTATGCATAATATTTGTAGTTGAAGTCCTAAAATTACGTAAAAATGATTTAGATTTCAGCACAGAGGTAGATATACTGCCAAACAAAATCAACCAACCATATAACCAATATGAAAGAAATCTTTCATGACATTAATCCATATAATATCCTACAATTTCTTAAAGAAATTAATCTGTACTACAAAATATAACTTCAACAAAACTACAACATAAAACACACATATCACCGCCTCAAGTAATCAAGTTCAAACAAAGATGCATATACGGAAATGCTAAATAATTGTTTAGCAGACAATAGTCTACTAGACTATTATTTACCATTTAATTACTTTTTATTAATTATTTTTTAATATTAATTAATTATTATTATTAATTATTTTTTAATATTAACTATTTTTAGAGAAGTGTATTTGTGCTCTGACTTCCTCAGTTTAACCTTAGGGGTCAGATACAAGACAAAATAAAGGAAGTCAATCTTAATTGACTGAACTAGCGTGGAAATGATATATAGAGAAAAAATTTTTCGGAAAGTCGAATCTTAACCTATATACACGTGTTCTCTGTCGTGTATTTATCTGCTCCCCAGTGGGGTGAGTAAGAGTCCCCACTGGATAGTTAAAATATGTATACGTCGACATTAATATAATAGTTAAGTTCAAATTACCTTTGTTGGTGTCGTTTCATCTCTGTCCAAAACAACTAGCGATCACCGGCTGCGAGAGGGGAGAAGGCAACGTTATTATTGAATGCATCCCATCGCCCACGACCACCCCAGAACGGGGGGGTGTATACGACAAAAAGCTGAGTATCATCTACCATGCATTCAATTGTGAAAGCAGAATGACATATATCATATTTTTATTATTTCAAAGCTCGCATGAAAAGTAAATTACATCATTAAATGACCCACAAGCAGTTGATATGCCATTAAACATACAAATCAGTCAATCAATGATAGCATATGATCTAAAGTCGTTACCACTTTCAGTGACGAAAACGCATACATTTGACTAAGTATTTTTAATTATAAAAATCCATCAACGAAACAATCTCTTATTTATAACGATTACAAAAGACAAAAATGAAAATTATTATCAAAATGCAATTAATTTTTAAATTTAATGCATATCGTTTATCGACTCAAGAACTTGAACGTTGGGAAAAATTAATCATGATAACGAATTCCCGTAACCCATTAGGGTCGAAGGGGCACCACACGTACTGCAGCCGTAGCAGAAGTCGTGTTTCTAAGGCAAGATTGCTTGACGGAATCCAACCCTCTCCAAGCAGATTTGAATTCAAAGTTTACTTCTCCTAGACCGGTTGCCACCCAGTTTGTCCTGGCTGGGGGTGGAAGAAGAGGATTTATATCTTTCCCAAGGGTATAAACACGTAAGTGAATATAATGGATCCGACTGCAATTCGAACTCGGCTATCCGATTACTCAATCCGAGCAGCTATCCAGTACCGTAACATGCTTCCTTACAAAAAAAAATGGTTTTATTATATATGTCTACCAATATGAAACCGTCCTTGGTATGACGATAAACTACATCCGCGTTGAGAGTAAGACGATAAACTACGCCCAGCAGCAAGGCCTCTGATCAGGAGGTTTTGAAGAGCGTGGAACCACCTCTTAATTGCTGGTGTTCCCAGGTCCACCCTGACCTGGGGTGGTAGCACCTGTTAGGGTCCTAGCTATGGGCAAATATTTAACCCCGAAACTGAAGTAAAAAGCATTATAAAAGTGTAAAAATAGGTTTTAATACCAGAAATACTTTGTAAATAATGATTACCAAAAATAAATTTTTGAAGAATAAAACACTATTACCAGTAATATATTTTTGAAAAAAAATATTACCAGCAATACATTTTTAAGATAATATTGCCAGCTATACATTTTTGAGGAAAAAAATATTACCAGAATTAGGTTTTTGACAAAGCAAAAATATTACCAGGAAAAAATTAAACGACCCATTGAGGTTGATCAAACCAGTATGAAAATAAAATTCATACTAGTAGACATATATAATAAAACCAAATATATTTGATATCACTTTAAATCATTTTTCTTCCTGTCCTCCAGATATGGGTTAAATATCAGTATGTACTGAGCTAGAGTTGGGTGACCGCTAGTCTAGTAGAAGAAAAACTCCAGTTTAATCGGTTTGGTCACAATTGGAAACTGCGGAGAAGACAAACAAACACTACTGTCCCAAGAAGTAATGGCAATTCATGTACTAAAGAAAAGGAAGCTGTGGAGGTACCATTACCGAATATATCCTGAAAAGACGTGGCGTTAAAAACCGTCGATCTACCGCAAGTCGCTCGTCATAATCATGATATAAATCTTTGTTTAATTGTGAGATCTGCGTGCCAATGACCAAACCCTATGGTTTTAGTATATTAATATAAGCCATTTTCCTTTTTCTACATTCCCTTAGAAGTGAAGATTATTAGTGAGGGCCTAGATAGCGACTGACCTTTAAATCGAAGAGGTTAAGAATGTATTGTTCATAAAATTTTAGTGCCTCTTATGTTTGTCTCAAGGTTCTTGATAAGATCCTGAGACGGATATGCAACGTAATTGGCCCTGATCTGGCATCTCGTCTGCATTCGCTCTCTCACAGACGTGTCGTCGCCTCCCTCTGTCTTTTTTACAAATACTTTCATGGTAAGCTGGTTCCCAAACTTCATGAATTTAAGCGTTCTACTAGGCTGGCATATCGCTCACACCCTTTCACTGTCGAAACTGTTAAATGTAGCCGTCTCTTCTACTCCAATAGCTTCATGTCTCGCACTTCTCGCCTGTGGAATTCCCTCGCCATTTCTTGTTTTCCTGATAGCTATAATCTCAAACTATTCAAATGTAATGTCAATCGACGTCTTCAGATGCCTTGATCTATCCCCTATCCTTCTCTTCATCCTTTCCTCTATCACTCCTCTTTACTCTCGCTCTAACTCTTTATAACCCCTTGCGTGCCTTGCTTGAGGTGAAACGCTTAAAAATAAATAAATAAATAAAAGCATCAATGCGGGACTTTGTTCTTTATTATTTCTTAAATGGTAATGAAACTATCCTTTAACTTCACTGAATTTGACTTCTTGATAATTATCAATAAGTAATGACTGCGATCTGACAATATGTTTAGCACAGTGCCAAATAAAGTTCACGTTTTTAAGTTATTCAAAAGATGGACTTCATATGAGAGAAACTATTATATTTAATATGTAGCGATTTCTTAGATTCTCCACAGAATTTGTAAACACATGTATAATTTCCAGCCTGTCATTGAAACATGAAAACACTTTATGTATTAGCAATTGTTGTATTCCAGAGCAACATTTCAACAAGCTTTGTTAAAACCAATATTTGAATAATTTCTGCCATATTTTAGAACTTAAATTAAAAGGAAAAGATATACACATTAAGAAACAAGGCGAACTGATCATTTAATCAAGTGTAGGTATATTCCTGTAATTTTAAAAATGTTTAAATATTCTAATAATCATTCTAGTCAGAAACTGATATTGCAGTGGAGATTTCTATGTCCACACACTCTCTATCTATCTATCTATCTATCTATCTATCTATCTATTTCTTTCTTTCTTTCTTTTTATTTCGGTTCGTTCATACGTATCTATCTATCTACCTCAATATATTTATTTATTTATTTATTTTTATTACAGTATGATCATACGTATCTATCTATCTCAATATATTTTTCTTTCTTTCTTTCTTTCTTTCTTTCTTTCTTTCTTTCTTTCTTTCATTCTATTTCGGTATGTTCATACGTATCTATCTATCTATCTATCTATCTATCTATCTATCTATCTATCTATCTATCTCAATATATTTATTTATTTATTTTTATTACAGTATGTTCGCACGTATCTATCTATCTATCTAAATACATTTCTTTCTTTCTTTCTATTTCGGTATATTCATACGTTTCTATCTATCTATCTATCTATCTATCTATCTATCTATCTATCTATCTATCTATTTCTTTCTTTCTTTCTTTTTATTTCGGTACGTTCATACGTATCTATCTATCTACCTCAATATATTTATTTATTTTTATTACAGTATGATCATACGTATCTATCTATCTCAATATATTTTTCTTTCTTTCTTTCTTTCTTTCTTTCTTTCTTTCTTTCTTTCATTCTATTTCGGTATGTTCATACGTATCTATCTATCTATCTATCTATCTATCTATCTATCTATCTTCTCCTTTCTGTATCTATCTATATACCTATGTTTTTCCATATCTATCTATCTATCTATCTATCTATCTATCTATCTATCTATCTATCTATCTTTTCTTCCCCTTTTATGTATTTCAGTTACAAACAAAAAGTGCTTTATATTCCCGCATGTGTACATAAAGAATTATAGACATTATTTCATTTTTTTTTGCTTGATCTTGTACTTTTTATTGAAAAATATACACATCAGCTCTTTTACGTACCCCCGTAAGAAATAATTATCTATGTAGACGTTGTAATTCTATCCGTTTGATCAATTGAGATATATAAGTATATGTAAACATATATAATAAAAAAAATCGGAGGGTAAAAAATATAACTTGCGAACTTATTGAAAATGCCGAGCATGTAGGGCGAGGGATTTTGGTCTTATCTTTACAGACGTAAGCAAAGACAGAAGGAACATTTTGATCCGAGATAGAGAACTCCCTCTCTCTCCTATCTTTGATTCACGCACAGCGATTTCAAGTAGAGGACGTTCCGATTACGAGTATAATCGCATAAAACCTACCTAACCGCAAGAACATATGAGCTTGGCTTTGGTAAACGTGATTTCGATACATGTTGCTACTGGTTAGTTCTCATTGTAGAGCCCTTCTAAAAATTATAACCCGTTTTAATAATAGTCTTATTTCATGAGATGCTGATTGCCATTAAAAGCTTTTCATGGCAAATCATCGAAATATTACGATTGTCTGTTAAATTCTAAAGAAAATCGTGTTTCAAAACGACTCGTTTTCCGAGTATATCTACCTGCAAAGGTAGCTACGTTAACCCTGTTTCAGTTTTATTTATGCTTCTGCAATACGTACAAAGACAACCTGCGGTTTATACTGTAACTATACTGAGCAGACCTTGCTTAATTTCTAGGGGAGAATACATGATCATTTCTGCGCAAGGCCGGTACGCAGAAACCCTCAGTCATGATATGACTTTGTGCAAGCACAACCGTCTATAGCTTCCGTACAGGTTCTTCTATCCAGTTTCGCCGGTAAGGCTTGGTTCAACGTGTGGTATGGTTTTCAGACACTTCCCAAGTGTGACATGCGTTAGGATCGTCTCCCTCACCCGATATAATCATGAAGCCATTTTGATAAATCGGCCATATTTGATTCAAGTTCTAACCAATAAATAAAGTCCTCAACCCATTGAATTTAGTATCATGATTTTTTCTATGTGTAGGTTAGATGTGACACAAGGCCGAAAGTATGGAGCACCCCGTGAAGATCGAACTCACTATTCAGTCGTAATTGATCTAGCGAGACATGGTTGCTAAGCATTATACCAAGTCAACTTTAGCATGACTTAGGGGTCTTTTCCAAAACAATACATTCACTGTATCAGTTGCTCATCGTAATGATTTTGGTTGATTAAAAAAATGCTACATTAACTAAAAGTGAAAGCAATTTACTAAAATGAAAGTGTATAGAAAGTGTTTTAACCGTAAATTTACATCCAGTTTCGTGCATTTTCACCTTTCTTGACACATCTTCTATTATCAAAAGGTGAAAGATTTAATAAGAAAATTGATGGAAAAGAAAGAAAGAAAGGGCGAACAACAGAAAGGAAAATTTAATTATATATGAGAGCGAGAGAGAAGAGAAAGAGAAAGTTTCCAAAAGAAAGAAAGAAAGAAAGAAAGAAAGAAAGAAAGGGCGAAGAATGAAAAGGAAAATTTAATTAGACATAAGGACGAAAGTGTAGAGAAGGAGAAAGTGTTGAAAAGAAAGAAAGGGCGAAGAAGAAAAGTTGGAAACATAAATGAAAAGAAAAAGATTTAATTGAAATTGCCTAGAGTATATACCCAAACACATACTTAAAAGAAAAACAAGAAAAAAACTAAATTTAGAATTTCAGGTGCCCTCTTCTTCATACACATGTATAATGAGATAACATAAACATCACCGATGAAGTTCTAACGGGCAATACGCATCACACAAAAAAATTTTTCCTAAAATTGTTCTGGTATATAAAAATTTTATATAGTTTTTTCTTATACACACACACACACACATAAACACACTATATATATATATATATATATATATATATATATATATATATATATACCTTCAACCGGAAAGGTAAAGCCTCTCTTCTCGACCTGTGCTTTACCTCCAACCCCGAATCCTGCAGCACCTCGAAACTCTACCCTCTTGCTAACTCTGATCATGCAGTAGTATCAGTTAACATCTCCTTCAACTCCACCCACTATAAAGAACCTCCTATCACTAGAACTTCGTTCTACTCTCAACGAGCTGACTAGGACGCTTTCCGTGATTTCCTCCGCGATGTCCCCTGGGATGGAGTCTTCTTTAAGCTCCCCGTCTAAGAATGTGCTTCTGAGGTCTCTTCCTGGGTTAAAGCTGGAATCGACGCTTTCAACCCATCAAGGAAATATAGGGCCAAGTCGCGCCCCTCCCTCTAGTTCTCGGCTGGTTGCTCAGCCGCCAACGCCCATAGAAACCACTACTTCCACCTATTCCGTAGCGACATGTCTGACTGCAATAGACGTCTCTTTGCCTCCGCCAGTAACGAATGTAAGCGTGTCCTCAACGATGCTAAGTCACTATTTGCGGCTCGGATGAAGGAACGTATAGCATCTCGCAAATTTGGCTCCAAAGATTATTGGCGTCTCTGCAAGAGCGTATTGAAAAATTACAAACTCTCTATACCTCCTTTATTCAACCAGTTCGAAGTCCTGACCTTCTCTACCGACAAGGCTGAATGCTTTGCTCGGAAATTTTCATTCAACTCGACGCTCGACTCTTCCGGTGTACCCATACCCGACTTCCCTCTTAGAACTGAGGTCATATTGAGTGGGTTAAACATAACCCCATCTTTGGTACTGGCCGTTATCTCCAATTTAGACCCCAACAAGGCTAGTGGTGGAGACGGGATGCCAGCCATTGTCTTGAAGAAATGCGCGCTTGAACTGGCGGCCGCCCTTTCTAAACTATACAACTACTGCCTCAAGGAATCTTGTTTTCCTGACTGCTGGAAGTCCTCTTCGATCGTTCCTGTCTTCAAGAACTCCGGCGACCCCTCTGAAACTTCCAACTACCGTCCTATCAGTCTCCATCCCCTCTTCGGCAAAATCTTCGAAGCCCTAATCAATACAGGGGTGGTTAACCACCTCACATCCCATAATCTGTTCTCAGACAAGCAATATGGTTTTCGCTTTGCCCGATCTACAGCCGATGTGGTTACGGCCATCACTGAAACAGTCTACCGAGCTCTTCAAAATAACGGGGAAGCCCGAGCCGTGGCCCTAGACATCTCCAAAGCATTTAATAGGGTTTGGCATGCCGGCCTTCTTCGCAGACTTCAGGGTTATGGCATTACGGGTCGATTGTATAACCTAATACAATCATTCCTGTCAACCCGTGAATTGAAGGTCGTTCTCAACGGATTCTCCTCCAGCTCCTATCCCACGAACACAGGTGTTCCTCAAGGCTCCATCCTAGGCCCCACTCTATTCCTTATCTACATAAATGACCTTCCTGACGCCATAACTTCCCAAGTTGGCATCTACGCGGATGACAATTTATTCCTGCCTTAAAACAAATCTAGTCTCGCTGACAAAACTCACCTGGCCGTCCGTCTCGAAAAGGACCTCCAATCGATTGTGAACTGGGGCATGAATTGGCTGGTCAATTTCAACGCTTCGAAGACAAAACTGCTCTCTATTAATCACCACAGAGATCCTTCCCTGCCCTCCATTAGAATGTCTGACGCTGAACTTCTCGAGAGCAACTCTCTGCGGCTTCTCGGTCTCACGTTGAGTGTTGACCTGAGATGGAATAAATACATTGAGTCAATTGCCGCGCCAGGAAGTTTTTCTCCCCGGAATCGATCCTCCAGATCTACAAATCAACAATTCGCCCTTGCATGGAGTATTGCTGCCATATATGGTCTGATGCCCCTTCTGTTTGCCTCGGGGTTCTTGATAGGCTCCAGAGGCGGATATGCAATGTAGTTGGCCCTGCCCTGGCGTCTCGTCTACAGTCACTTTCTCACAGACGCGCCGTTGCCTCCCTCTGTCTGTTCTACAAATACTTTCATGGAAATTGCTCCGAGGAGCTGCATTCGCTGGTTCCCAGACGTCATGAGTTCCAGCGCCTTACGAGGCTCGCATCCCGCTCTCATCCCTTCACTGTCTAAACTCCTAAATGTAGCCGTCTCTTCTACTCTAATAGCTTCATGTCTCGCACCTCTCGCCTGTGGAACTCCCTTCCCTATTCCTGTTTCCCTGTGAGCTATAATCTCCAGCTAGTTAATCTCCGTGTGTTTGTGTGTGTGTGTGCGTGTGTGTGCTTGTGTGATGGTCGGTTTAGTATGAATATAAGATCTCATTGCAACTCTCACTTGTGATTTTCAATATCCGCTAAGCTCTTGCATGAATGTGCGTAACAAACTTCACAAGATTTGGCGTTCGAACCTTCCATCCTCCTTATAAGTCCAACCCTTTCGATCATTGATTGAACCATTCCTACTGTATGGATCAGAAACTTGGACATTATCTGCTCGTCTTGAAAGACGACTGAATGGAACATATACAAATCTTTTTGGAAAAATTCAGAACATCAGTTAGAGATCCCATGCAACGCTGAACACAATTTATGGAGACCTGAGACCAATCTCTCTTAAGCTCAAACAAAAGCGTTTGCAGTTTTCCGGCCACTGCCACTGGATGTACAGAGAGTTCGTCTCATATTAACTCCTATGGGATCCTTCAAAAGATGTCTCCTTGCGAAAGTTGACTTTCCCAGACACCATGGCTCGGGACATTAGTTGGACATTGGGGATCTGGGAACAGGCAATGCAGGACCGAGCAGTGTTAAAAAGGATTGTAAAGGGAATTCCGACTAACCAAGGGGAGGTCAAAGGAAGATAATGATGATGAGGTTGTTGATGATGATGGTGATGATATTGAGCTATTGATAATTTTTTTTTTTTTTAAATTGGAGAAAAACACTGCACTGGGTCGGTCCCACGATCTGAGTGAGAACAACATAGGCTCAAAAGAAGAACTAGACAGCATCACTGTATATCATCAATCTACAGGT